ATAGATAGATAGATAGATAGATAGATTGATAGATAGATAGATAGATAGATAGATAAATAGATAGATAGATATGTTTGAATGTAGGTAGATTGCTAGTCATATGGGTAAATCGTAGCAAAGTTTGAAATTCATCGCCTTCGCTCTCTCACTCGTTTGGTATCCGGACATCGGATGCGTCTGTGGAAAGTGGAACTGTCAGTCATGCCCCATGCAGCCCTCAATTGCCCTCGGCATCCAAGATACTACGTCCACTGTATAGCTCTCATTGCAATCTTCCTAAGTGATTGTTCACTGAGATCCCGGTATTAACCCATCAATTATATCAGCTACCGCTTCCAATGCGTATCTATCTTTCCACCTCCCCAAATTATTGGTGAACGAAACTGTGGTAGCCGGAACCACTACACGGCAATTACGCGGTATTCACAGCTGATCATGATGGTGATGCTGTTGATGACGATGGTACAGGTACACACACTGACTTACACTGGAAGCGAAAAGTTGATAATTAAAACACAGCATACATAACGTACTACTGTGTATTATAAATTGTGGCATTAGATGTGAAATCTATTGTCATAGTGTGCACGCTGTTCCTTAGCTGGTGGTCACGATCCCTGCTTAACCGTGGGTCTCTTGTTTGAGGGAGTGCTAAGTAAGTCGGCAGAAAATCACTGTCTCTTCTGTTAAGATGTATTTTACGGGGAAACCCTAAAGGTACCGTAAGAATGGAATATCTATCCCACGTTAGTGAATTACTCTCCGTGCGCGTACCAGTGAGAATACTCAGACTTACCTTCGTGAATCTCGTGATTCTATCATTTTCGGGTGTGTCAAACGAACGTCTCTCTAAGCCTGTTTATTAGACGAGATGTCTGGATAAAACTGCCAGACATCCAAATCTATTTTGTGAACAACTTAGCTTTGTCGCTAGTGGAAAATCGCATCTGAAGTTAGTTCAAACATCACCGATGCGTGCAACGCAAAAAGCCGCACTGCGCCTGCCAGGTGCTCGGCATGTGGCACGCATTGTCACACGTGGGTTGGTGCAGTTAGCTGAGTTTATGTACTCGGAATAATGTGTGCTCAGCACAGCTGTTACCAAACCCTTGCCTTTGTCAACAAAAGGCACATAACGGCCTTGGGGCTACCTTGACTGGTCAGTCGGACTCCCAAACAAATCACTGCGGGGATACTGTCCTGATTTTACACTCACTATGGGGCTCCCAGCAAATGCATTACCCTGTCCCACATTTATTAGCTATATTGGTCTGACACTGTGTCAGCTCTTACGATAGTGTGACAGACACAGTCAACGCGCCTTTGCCGATTCGTACCACCTGTAGTATTTAAAAGATTTGTCATTGAGTCTCAAGGATGCATGTACGAGACTAGTGTATGCGCCGCATTGTTGTACGCCTGCAAGACTTGACCATTTCGCGTCTTTGATCATCGATTTCTCAAAACCATAGTTGGCTGAAATCAACGAATTTTCTATAAAGTGAGCAGTAAACACGTAATGCACTACTCGTAAGTCTGTTGAAAATCCTTCGACAGCCCACGACCGGTTTCGCTCTCCCACTTCTGTCTGATCAGTTAGGCACAGTCCCCGAGTGTCTGTCAACCTTGTGTTCCACTTGAAACCAAATTGCACGAAATAAGCGAAATGCACACATTTGCAAACAAATTTGGTTTCGCCAGAGACCCAGCTAAATCTCTTGTTTCCAAGCAAATTAAGAATGTCATGAAAGATTTCGGTGCTGATATTGCTCTTCGCCTTTCCATTATGCAGTCCACGTTACTCTTCTCGTGGTTGGCTGGTGACAATGAAAAATGTCAGTCCATGTCAGCGGCGTTCATCATTCAGTTTCTTGCCACAATATTTGACTGAATGCTAAGGTGCAGGCACCTCGGGTGTTCATTGTAGACTAACCCTGGGCTTTTCTTCTGTCAGGCTTTGGTTAAATAAAGTGACATGGTTGTACCAAAGTGAAGCACCGGTTTCCCTCGCAGGTGTTTTTGTCAATGAGAATGGGGATGAATTGCAGGAAGAGACGCTATCAGAAGCAAATACGATCAAATACTCGCTCTTTGATTTAACCTGGGAATTTTCGCATGGTTGCGAAACAAGTGTAAAACAAAGCAACAAATATCAGCAATAAATTGTTGGGGCCCGTTTTTGTTTACTTGACCGATTTTACAGCATGGTTTGTTCTCCACTGAAAGCTGGGAATCGTATTTAGCCGCAACATTGTTTGTTCGGAGCTGCTGCTCATGCGGCCGCGACAATACACGGCGCCGCGGACCAGAGTAGTGTCGGCTTTCATCTGTAGCAAGTGTAAAATTCTGTGAGTCTTGATCACTCAAAGAGACTGATTCGAGCCTAATACGCACCTCTCTAGTTGTCCTAATATTAAACTCCATACTTCATGTCTAAGCTACGTTTTAGTCGACCTGCTTACTGTCAATATCATACCGCCTTTCTTTCAGGAGTATGATACCGGTACATACTTTTGCACTGGACGATCACAGCAGGGAAAACTCATGCCTGTGCATTTGTTCTCAAAGTTAGTTCGTGGTGTTACCAAAGACGTCGCCCTCGGCTACAGCACGGAAAGCAAGCCTGGATACTGGTCACGAACAACCACAATGGTGTCTCCAAACGAATTAGTTCGCATTAAGTGCATAGTATGGACCACGAACCCGTTCTCACGTTCGGCACAACGATTCAGGCTCCTCTTCAATGAGACTCAAACTTTCGTTGACAGTAGAAGAACGCAAAGCATTATTTTACGTGCTACTGAGCACGTGATCACGATAACTCGTATGCAGAGCCATCAGCCAATCAAATGCGAAATTGTGGACAATACATACACAAAAACCGTGGAGGTACAAGGACCACAAATCAACTGTTCACTTCCAAACGATCTACATATAACTCCAGATCGTCCTTGGGGTTATGAGCGTTCCGAGGTCGTCGAATGCACGTCAAGCAATACGTGTGACTCTGTCAAATTTCGATGGCACTGGGTTGCTGGACCGGTGCCTCAGTTGTCCGTGGAACCTGATAAAATTGATAATGACGTGACTGGGAAAGGCAAACGTTTGATTTTATCGAAATTACCGCGCAGTGGAACTTACATCTTCCTATGTATTGTCCAATGTGATTGTGGGAACATTTCAAGCACGAGCGCCATATCAGTGACCTTGAATGTGCAACCAGACCAACAGGAGGACCGCCGATCGAAATCATCAGGCGTCCCTGACCCTGAGTTGGACCGGGATCAGGATGTATTGGATGATGAAGCGGTTGATATGGAACCGGGAGAGATTGGTAAAAGTGTCATGAAACGTGAAGCTACTCTACTGACCAGTGACCCTAATCAGACAGCAACCCTCGATGAATTACAGGCCACTATGGACAAAGGCAAAGAGGAGCACGTGCTGCTGAATACATCTGGTACTTATCTGGTCCCCACCGATGTCACAGCGCAGAAAAATATATTCAGTAGGACTACGCAGACGCCGTTGAAACAAGAGGAATCTCAGACATATGCTGTTAGGCGTGGTCCCAGCCATTCACATGTTATCGTGTTTCCCTCTCTTAACTTTGTTACCGGGATTGCCTCAAAAGGTCGACTGGAAGACGGGCAGAATACACTCGAGGATAGTCTAACCAGTAAACAGACGGGTCCATTAGTAGAAAACATTCGGTCACGACACGAGTTTACCTCCAAATACCGGCAACCGTGGACCAAAAGCAGTGCGTTATTCAGTCATGATCCAAAACCGCAAACAGAATTACTTAGAACCGATCGGATTCAGCGAGGCCTAAGTAACTCACACTCCATGATCCATTTATTTCGTGAAAACCAAACGTATATCAGTATAACAGTACCACAAAAGGCGACATTCGAAGCGCAATCAAAATTCAATACTACAGATGAGGACCCCGAGGTTAGAGTAGGAGAAGATATCAAGGTGTATGCAAGACAGTTGGGTGATCGTAAGCGAATGTGGCTGTCCTATACTACTGAACAAGGGGAAGAGTCGGATTACATTAATCGGATTCCTCAGAAGTATGTTGATATGTGGCCCCAAACTACAGAAGGTTTAGATGCATCTGCTCGTAGGAACGACTACCCAGATTCCGTTTGGCGTGACCGTTCAGAAGCATACAGATCTCAGCTTCAAAGAAAGTTAATTCAAGTTCCGATGAGAATAAAATTCAACCCTAGTTTAATAGAACGACTGAAGACGACAGTGGCTAATATACGACCACCAGAAACCGACTTCCCCTGGAAGGAGCAAAAACACATTAACAAAGCTGCATCACAAGACATAACTGAAAGGCGTGTTTTCAGGGAAAAAAGCCGCAAGCTTCTGGCGAAGTCGAAAAAGGAGCTCAAGTCTACAGATCTACTCAGTCTTTTCGAGCTAACAGCTGTTGCTCATCAGCAAGCAAGTGCTTTGCTCCTCCCAATGAACAAGTCTCATTTACAGCAAGTATACGGTGGATCGGCAGATGACTTTATCAGCAACCTCTCACGTCAGATGAAGGGTGAACGCCTGGAAGATAACATCGGCAAACGTACCGCTTATCTGGACTTCAACTTCGCAGAAAGATCGGATTTAGTGGCATACGAGAGGGATCGTGTCGAAAGACTGTCCCCCTCGCAAAGAGCTGTATACCAGAATTATGGTGTACGAAAGAGTCCAGATATGGATGGAACTCACAGGACTAAGCACACCAGAGTTGAAAATGGAGGATCAGTGAATAGGCTGGGGTTGTCAAGTTTGCTGCACTCAAATCGTGCAGCAAACAAGGGGGTGAGTGAACAGGATGGCGGCAAGCTTGAAAGCGAGGCACTCCGGCTTCAACCAGGTTTGGTATTCCTGTCAGGAATAATGACCGCCGTTTGTCCGACTGCGTCAAACACCTGGCAGGCTTCTGATGGATTCTTGAGACTGACTTGGAAGAGATATCCATCACTAGTCGACCCACCAGAGCATGTTGTTGACTTGTACCTTGCCAGTAGACGAATTTTGATTCGTTCAGAAAGATTCGTTAACCCAACCCGTGTTTATTCGTATCCACCGATGAGGTGGTCAGACGCATATACTCTGGACGTCATGCAACTGAACATAAATGATTTCGGATATTATGCTTGCATTAGCACATACCAGACCAGTTCAGGTAAAGAGGTCGACGTTGTCAGGATATCACCTCATCCACTTTGTATTATGACGAGACCGTCAAAACCGAAACTGGTTTTGCTCGGAGATGCAAATCCTAACTCATCTGCAAACAACGATTTTGTGCAACCTCCATCTATTTTCCACTTTTATCCGGATGTGGAAATTACGCTTTACTGCTCAACTCCACGATATCAACTGTTTTGTGAGCGAGCAGATCAAATTGCCAATGGTGTGCGAATAATTCGTACGGCATTCCGGGCTATTTTACACTTGAACAGAGATAAAGAAAGTTCCCATGAGGTTGTTTTACCGCATACCATGCGAACAACACCACCCATGAGACATTTAAATTCAACTGACCCAGACAAGTTACATTATGCCTGGAGGTTTCGCTTACGACGTGAGTATAGTGGAGCCTACGTCACCTGTGAGGTACAACCAGAACTTATTCCACCCATCCTCGTTCCAGCAGCATATTGGGATTGGTTGTCCTCAGAATTCAGTCCACATCGAATTCAGCAGATGATCAGTGTTTCCGATCCAATCGCACTCCATTTGTACATCGAATCCGGTTATATTCAGATAATTCCCGAGCCCACTCGGCACGCAGGAGATCCGGAAATCAGTTCTGTTGTGCTCCAGCCCACACAAACGTTGAGTTGCCAGACCAATATAGCAACAGAAAACGGTCCAAATTTAACAATCTACCCAATACTGAACAACAAAATTGAGCTGGCCGTGAGATCCGATTTATCCGCATCTTCAATGTGGCTGGACAAGGGACGAGCGACTCCAGATTGGGCTAGGATTTCTTACACGAAACTTGTGCGCTTGTATGTGCCTGCGGATCCAAAAGTGTTTGGCACCTATCTGATATATTGTGCTGTTCCCGGCACGAAGTTCAGTAGGGTGAGTTGAGCCCGATCTGTCTTAGATGTTAGGCAGTAGTAAAGTTAAAGCTTAGTGCGGTTTGTTTATTCGGATGCGCTTTGACAATATGTGACAATTCAACTGTGCACCCATTTGATGAGTAGCTACCAGGCTATTCGTAGGAAGCATGAGGGTTAAGATGATGTCAGTTTGCTCTAACCTATCCGGAAGCAGTAGAAACGATGAGGTTGGGTTCGAAGCACGGACCTCTCAGTTGGTAAGTCTACGCCTCAATCACTAGAATTCAAGTGATATCCACTATTCGCATACCTCCCTACAAAGACCACTAAGGACGATGTGATTTAGCACTTTCCGCATATATATATGACAAGTTATCATGTACTAAGCAATATACTTACCTCTGGACCGGACCAAGTATAACCAAATGTGACTTGTAGGAGAAACAAGTTAGTGCCTTCTTTGCAATTAGTACCTAATACATTTGACAATAAAATAAGTTTGATCGAACTAATTGAATATAGGTCCTACAGAAAAAATATGTCTCATCTCCATGGCTTAAACGGATTTCGTATCGTGCATCTTACGTGATCTCAGAGTTTGTGGACTTCTAAATATTCTGCATGCAAAACGACTATACTTGTAGCTTATATTCACCAAGAAAACCCTAGGAATTTTCGCCAAATTTTCCAATGAAGCCTTGAACCTTTGAGTAGCTATGGAATTTATAAGAGCAACGCAGGTTCCACTGTAGAAGAAATTCTGTGAGTTCGAAGTTTGTATGCCATTTAAAGTTGAATGATAACTGATATCACAAGTGTGCAGTGCGTCACAGAGACATCTATCTTTGTATAGTGCCCTTGGAGAATGCAGTAAGTAACCCGTCTCTAACGGTTTTCTGCTCGTAGTGGTGAAGGGATTTTATTACGGAAGGAAGAATTGTCCTAAATAGTTATTTGGCTCTCTGACGACGGTGATTCTGTCATTCATTTAGTCACAGATGAATTGACAGAGAATCAGTTATTTCAAGGAAAACAGCAATTTGCATAGCCTACCAACAAGAAGGACGTTTCGTGAAGGCCTCAAGTTAAGGGAAAAGGCTCTTGTTGCGTTAAATTCTGATTGGGCCCTGGAAAATTTGTTAGTTTAGGCTACCATTTTGCTGAATCCTAGCCGTATCGAGGTAGCACTACATGATTCATTCTCTTCCCGTTCCTAAGTAAACTT